ACTGTTCTTATGCTATTATTCAATTGTTCTACAGCACAACGTGTGCGTGTTGGGACAAAAAGAAACATAACAAAGGAACAAAGCTGCCCAGGGGAGTTTGCACTGGTATTTTAAACTTTTACACAAGTTGCAATAAAGGTGAAATCAAATAAAAGGTATAAATGATGAAGTGATGTAAACTGCATGTTCTTTTGTAAATTGCTGCACTTTTTAGAACTCTTTAACAACACTAAAGCCCTGCATTTTAAAAGGCTGCACTATTTGCTACTTGATTTGCAAATTTAACTGGATGATACTTTTGGTTTAATTGTGAAGCTGCTAGAGTGGCACCAGTGTGGTGATTTATAAAGGTTTTGAAAGTGTCGGATGGAACATTCACAAGACCATTAGTACTCTGGGTTAAGCAAAAATGGAAAAAGAGGGACAGAAATAAACACAATTTTAAATCTCTCAGCTATAAAACTGTAGGTACATCACTAAAGAGGAAAAACTGAAGGTTGCACTGCATTACATTACATTTTGCTGTATGAAATCATGAATCATGAAATCAATGCCTTTCGGTGCCAACATATTAAGTATTTATGTGAAAACAGATTTGTATTATACTGACTTACTGTAACGCTCATTTTATTTTTTTATTTTTTCAAAAACATTAAAGTTACACATTTAAATGATAATGAACATGTTTTCGTTTGTAGACATGACACATTTAAAATGTTAAACGTTCATGAGTTTAGCTTTTTTTAATTTTTTATAAATGTAACGTAACTGTACTGAGGTCTGTAAAAATCGTCTCGGTTACTTGTGTAACCCTCATTCCCTGAATTGGGATCTCGCCCGATCCCCTTCGAGTGTTAACTAAACAAGCCAATGACCGTTGGCATGCGTGTTAGCACAGAGGTGAACCGAATGCCCCTGAACTTGGGAGGATGCCTGGCGAATTGAATTGCATAGCCGAGTCTGATGGTTCTCACGAGCCAGCGAGACGGCCTGGGGAGCGCTAGCCAGGCCCCCAGCGACCGAACAAGCGGGACTAGGGAAACCATCGACGTACCCGCAGTGGGGCAGCAAAGTGGAACACAGGGACCCAACCCCGGAGGCAGTGCGTCCCAGAGTGGGGTCTGAGTGCACGGTGCGCCACTTACCTGGCTACATGGCTGGGAAGGGGGCTCGTGAGGAGGCATGGCATCCTTGAACCGGAACCTGCTGCCCATTGGCGAAGGGAGAGGGGGACGGCCGTGTGGAGACTGGATCTCGTGCACTGCCATCCTCGCCCTCTTAGGACCCGGAGAAAAGGGAAACTGCTCTTTTTTTGAGGTTTTGGGTAGCCAGTGGCGGAACAGAACAAAACAGAAACAAAGGATTCTCGACCCGGCCCTCCTCCGGGGGAAGGAGTGGTGCGGTCACCACCTTCTGAAGAGCAGGATCCAAGAACTCCGGGTCGCCCGTCTCAGGGACGCCGCCTGCCCTGGCGCTTCACAGGCTTTGCCGGGGCGGGGGGGGGCGGCGGCGAGCAGGATCCAAGAACTCTGGGTCGCCTGTCTCAGAGTCACCGCCTGCTCTGGCGCTTCACGGGCTTGGCAGGGGCGGAGGCGGGCTGCGCCGCTTTCCTGCGGCCAGCTCCACGCTGCGGCTGTTGTGAAGGCTGCTGCTGTGGCCAAGCTGGAGCGGAGGTATCCTCCCTCATATCCGCCAAGGTCAGCCATAGGTGGCACTCCTGGACCACCAGTGGACAATGTCTGACCCAGGGCCCGCGCTGTGACTTTCGTCGCCCTAACTGCGAGGTCTGTCGCAGTCCACAGTTCCTGCAACACACCTGGGTCAGCACCACCCTCGTGCAACTGCTTCAACACCGTATATATATATTCACTAATTGTATAAATGTTTGAGCAACTTTTTTATCTATTAAGTCAACATGCAGAAAGCCATTTTGTAGTCAAGTGAGTAAAAAACAAAAAATATATTTTTATTTTTTATACAGGCTAGTTACACCACCTGACATTTATTGAAATGAAATGTACTTTTCTATGGAGCACAACATTCAGGTTTTTTTTTTCTGCAATTGTAACTCTCGGGGCTCCATGCAAAACCTATGAACTTATTATGTGTTTTAAACTAGATTTTTAAAAGATCGTCTCTTCATTCACAAACAAAATAGTTTTGTCAAACGAAAAGAATATGAGGAGTTGCATGTATTTCTACAGAACAGGTGATTGTGAAACCTTAAATCAACTTGTGAAAATCACACACTCTGAGAGTGACGTTCCTTTATCCTTTGCTTTACTCTTGGTGAAATAAGGACTGTCATGTACTCAGGGCAATGTCATAAGTACTGAACCAAGGCATAGATGGCATGCCTGCTATTGTTGTTGACAATATGTATTTATATAAAGCCTTTAGTGTCTTTTTTGCACCAGGGGTGAAAATTAATGAAAGTCTCACTTTACGAATCAGGGCAGAAACAAATTTACACTTAACAAACTTCAATTTGTTGCACGACAAAAAGAGGTTGCTGTGGTAAACCATTATCATAGATTATTATGCAGAATGTATCTTCCAGGGGTTTATGATTCATGCAAATGGAGGCATCAGCATATCGTTGCATATTTCTGTGCCTAATGGATGACTACACATCTATGAGATTACGATTATAATGGAAAAATGTCCCCCTCCCTCTCAGCTAAGCCAACCTTTGGCACCTTGAATATTAACCCAGTGGGAGTCAGATTGGGCAGGCCTAGAAGCAGAGAGATCGCTCTGTGTGTGTGTGTGTGTGTGTCTTTAAAGAGAGAGAGGTCTGCACAATTAACAGCAAATTGGTATTTTACCATTACTTTACAGGGCAAGATATTTGACCAACAGTATAGCTGGCAACCGTGTTGCCAATATATTACTGTAAAAATTCCTGAGAGGAGGGAGGGCGCTATGTGTAGAGATGTGTGTGTGTGTGTGTGTGTGTGTGTCTTTAAAGAGAGAGAGGTCAGGGATGGCTGTAAAAGTGGGGGATAGGGGTGCAAATGGTGGTCCAGTATTTGCCTCTAGTGATATTTTATGAATGAGAGGAGGATCAATCGCACAACAAATGCTAGTGAACAGCCAGTGAACTATCCATATCTGATAAATCATAGAATAGTTATGTCTACAGTAAGGTTATTTACAGAAAGAGAGAAAAATAAGCTAAAGTTATAGTATACATTATGTCATGGCCTCAGTATGTGTCAGTGATAAGCAAAAATTAAAAACATAATAATGTAATATGAAAATGTCAAGTCACTTGGGAGTACTTCATAATTAGTTTTGTTTCTTCTGAGCAAACATGCATTCTTCAGAAAGGTTTGTTACACTGTTATAAAATACATCATACTTATGTTTTATGAATATATTTCAGTGGTCTTTTACATATCATCTGTTTTTATAAATACATATATTTTTATATATTGTTTTATAAGATTGTTTTCACACTGCGTCATGCTATCAATAGTGACTAGATGACGGCATAATGATTGCACTCAGTTTAATTAAAAATTTAATTCAACTTCAAATAAAAGAAAATAGTCAAACGAACATACAATGAATTGCTATTTTTTGAAGTGAGTAAGTAGCCTACCAGTGTATATTCTAGTATAGGAACAGTTGCAGGTATTCACAGCCATGTTGATATTTATCTTCATAATAGCAAGTGTGAATATTGCCAATATATTGTCATTACTTTGTCTAATTTTTTGCTTTGCCAATGAAAATATTTCCAAACAGAGCCGCAACAGAATCTACT